TGCTCGCGTTGGCTCTTGGGAAGGCGGATTGCAAATCTGCCAAATCGAACAGCGGCTGTTCCGGAGACTCCCGGTCTCGTTTAGAAGTCTTGGCGCCTAGTGACAAGTAACTGATAGGGCAGAAAGCCTTAAATTAATAGCACTGATTCGTCGCCTAACAGTACGAACTTCCAACTCTCGATCGATACAACTAAACGACTCTCGCTCCAACTCAACACAGCCGCAGAGAAACAATGTAAAATTAAGTTCGTGCCTAGTCTAGAATCCGTTGCGTTGGTCGATGCCGCGAAACACGATCGGCCCTTCTCGCGTCATTGTTTTTAATAACAAAATCTCGGTACCTCTGACGCTATCGGATTACGAAACACCCGATACCCCGTGCAGGGTTTTTTCCCTCTTTTTTCCCTTCCCCGTAGAGCGGACGCTGATAAAACGAGGTTCCCAGTGCAAGGATATCGGTGTTGGCCGGCTTTCTAGAGATCATCGCGTCGTCCAGCAGCGCCAGGGACAAGGGTATTCGGTTTCAATGATATCGATGCCATCGTGCCGATACTGCGACATCCCCTGTTGCGAAAGGGTGGCGTAAACAAGGGATGGGACACTGGGCGAACGGCACCTGATCGGGTACGATGCGTCGAGGGTCTCGTAGCCTGCTTTTTTTGAAAAATGTCTCCAGTCAAGACGAAGTAATCTACAGGCTGTTGTATAACCTGTGATGCATAGCGGTGGTTCTTTTTTTTAGGTATGATCATTGTGATTTAGTAGAGCAGAGACGTCCCCAAGAATATCGTGCAAACCTGATTTCAACCCTAAAACCTGGCCCCAGCAACCAGAGGAGAAACCTGTGCGTCCCAAGCAAAATTTATGGATCTGAATATAGAAGTTGTCTGGAGATATACAGGAAGGTATTCCAAGGGGTAGGTCCCTCGTGGGGGTTAATATCATTTTCTTTCTGTAGAATAACGAGGGAATTTTATTGGAAACCGAATCTTGATCGATGGGTTAGCTTTCTGTAAGCTTTTAACTGGGGATTCGAGAAACACCGATACCCCTAACGTGCGAATCAATTTTATACGTCATTTGTAAGGCTTAAAAGTATATTCCAGCGAGTGGAAGTATTTTTATTCTCAATCTTTCGTGAAGCTAGGAGTGGTTAGCTAGACTTTAGGAGGTTTATACAGTCAGTCTCATAAATATTCGTACCTTCTATGTCTGTTAAAGAAATCTGTCTAAATCAAATGATAGGTTTGACATTTTTAAATAAATGTTTCATTGTGAATATATACATGAATAAACTTTACACTTCCATGTATTAATAATGAAATATTTGTTTGAAAATAGCAAACCTATCATTTAATTTAGACAAATTTCTTTGATAGACATAAAAGGTACAAATATTTATGGGAATGACTGGAACTAAGAAGTCTCGATCCCCTAATCTAGTACACTACCATTCACTCAATCGCATCCCCAACTGACGCTAACCCTCACGCACAGGTTTCTTCTCCTCAACGCTCATCTCGTTCCTCCTCGAGTGGCTTCTTCCCTGTTAGGACCGCCAGTGTTCTTCGTCGCTGAAGCAGCCCACTGGGCAGTCATTCGTCGGTAATCCAATCATAAACGCCCAGCCACCGGGTCAGAGGCCCCCGCCGCGTAACAGTAATCCGTTATTACAGAGAGATTTTATTCCTCCTGATAGAATTTCGCCGGCAGCGGCGGCCTGCCGTTTCCAATCCCGCGCGGAACGTTCATCAAAGCAGACAAGGACGGCCACGGATTTCCCGATTTTCGAGGCGTTCATTCGTGCGTCATCGCACGTCTCGTCACGCGGACGTGGGCCCCGATAATGCACTTATCCGCAGCTGGATGGGGAGTCGCGCGAGGCTGGCAACAAACGCGATGAATGCTGGCTTGATTGGAGCCTCGAAACGCGCGACGATACGTCGAAACGCGACGCCCGTGGCACGCGCGATTCGATTACGAGAGACGCTGTTTGCTGCATGAATCCGCGACGAATAGGTGGGGCAGCTGCCTCCGGAGATTCTTGCTGTGCAGCGATTCAGGGATTTTACGACGGCTTGGTAGTTCGTGGGAGGGATCTCTGTTCGTTTCGGCTGGTTGAAGTACGTTTGACGATGTTTGAAATGGATACTCATAAGCGTTTGTACACGACAGTTGAATATCAGGACTTGGGAGATGAGATTTGCAACTAGGAAGATAGAAATAAGGATTTGGGACTAAAAGCTGGTGACCTGGAGTCTGGGATAAAGGGACCTAGAAATAAGAACTTGAGTCTCAAAGCTGTTGACTTGGGACTCTGGGATTAAGGACTCGAGACTTGAAATTTCCTGCATCTCCAGAGCCTACTTTACCTGGCCTTCAAAATCGGTTCTGCGTTGGCCAGGCCAGCTAGATGAAACTTCAAACATGGTCACCGAGCCAACAATAACGCACCGTAAGACGCAATTCTAGCGTGCACCGCAAGCCGGGTTCTCAGAGATTCCAGCGGGACGCGGCATTGATGCTTCGGTCACGGAATGCCTTTGACGCTCGCAACAGAACAGAGCTATAATAGATTCATGCGAAATCCGTGGTAAACATAATTACAATAATTCTGTGGCCACCGATCAAAGGGGAATCGCGTTCCGGTCAGCAATTATGGGATGGAACGTTATTGCACAGTTACAACGGATACATAATTCTTCATTCGAGATTTCCATAATTTTTCCGTTGGCCTGCATAATTCATGCGCGGTTTTCAATCACATTCGTTTCAGCGAAGCCTGTAATAACCATGCGTAAATCCTGCAGCGTCGCTACGCATTTGTATCTATCGACGCCAGCCTGTCATTACATTGATCAAGATTTCCTGCTTCGCTATCATTCGCGCTTCTGCGATGGGCCTGCCAGGACGCTACCGGAATCGATTGCTTGGCAAATAATGAAGAAACTCGCGCGTAATGTATCGGAAGATGACCAGGCCTTTCAGATGTCTTAATGGCCTAGAAGGACCGGACAGTTAGATGTTGGAAAGTTGCTAATGATCAATGCCTGCAGGAGGTGAGGCGTCGGTGCTGGTGTAAGGCAACAAAAGCTGAAAGATAGAAGTGGTTTCCAGGCCTACATAGTCGAGTGCTATGCAAATCCTGATGCTAATTTCGGCTTTGTGCTTAGAGATGTTAATTACGACTGTCAAGAGCTCTCAAGAGAACGTGCAAGTTCGCAACAGTCGTCCAAGTATCTTACATGCAACCGGTCTAGTATCGCTATTAATCACCTAACTCCAAGCACTATGCTTTGAGGAGTATATTTTTTCCTCGAGGAAAGTATCAGCTATGACTGTCAGGAATTTTCGAGAGAACGTGTAGGTTCGCAAGAGTTCACCAAGTATCCTCGGTGCATGCAACTGGTATATCGTCGCTATCAATCACCTAACTCCGAGCACTATGGCTCGAGAAAAGTATCAACCCAGTGGTTCACTTGTCGACGACCTGCAACCCTATCGGATGAGGATCTTATCAAAGGATAACTGTAGACATGACAGAGACATAACGATAGACGAGAACAGTTTCGCGTTATCAAGAAACAATCAGTTCCCGTTTCCTCCGCTCGAGCAGAACGTGTCCACCTCCAATCTCCAACATCTACCTAATCCCCACGCAACAATAGACACCCGAGGACTGGGGGGCCCAGCGAAAGTGTCAACAAGCGTCCCTTTTACGTGTCCAGCGTTCCCCAGTAGCTCCAGTTCCTCGGATCTTTTAAAAGTCCATCGCGCATCGGACGCAAACAGAAATTCAAGTAGCACTCGAGATGCTCGCCAGGCGTGACTGGTTGGACCGCGGCTGGCTAGGTCGGACGACGATCGCCGCGAGGGACGCGTGACGCGGCACGCCGCCGTACGGAAGCCGATCAGGCTGTTATTACGCGATCGCTTTCGTTATTTAAAAGCGTTCCCGGAGGCCCCCGAAGCGGCCGACTCTAATTCATCGAGGACGATCGGAAGACCATCCAGCGAGATTAACGAGCCCGATTCCATTGACGCTCCGCGTTCAACGCTATCCGCGGCGTAGGATCGACGGACGTGCTATTTGCATAATCCGTCGATTTTTACGATTCTCGTAGAGCCCGGGGAAGGAGGACGTCGATCCGCCAGGACTCTCAGATTTGCATAAGGTTATTCTTTCCTTGAATGCTGGGGGG